AGCGGGGTCGCCAGTCGGCCCCACGGATCCCTCACATGACAAGGACCATGAGGAGAGTGATGATACACCTCAGTCACCAACAGCACCATCAGAGGAGGGTGAGCGTTTGGAGTTTATGATTACAGATAGTGCGGATCGGCACGGAGTGGGGTACCATTCAACACCACCAAGAGTAGGACCAAGGGATACAGTTCCCTCTAGATCGTCTATTTCGCTGCAAGATTTTGTTCACGTACAACAACGAGCGTCGTAGGATCCTCATGGTCCTGAGGCACTAGATAACTGATGTGCGAGATTGTCCGGGGCTGTCTAATCGCAGCAGCAGAATCAACGATTCGAGGCGGACGCATTGCGAGAATCGTTGCCGCTTCGAGCATCGTTAACAACTCCAACGACACTGGTGAACCCAACGCCGGTCAGTGACAAGGAGTCTCTTCCAACACCGGAAAGTATTGCGGCGGACCGCCAAGTGCTTCATGCGCAAATGCTTAGACTGTCCGAGGAGCTGTGTAGAGCAGTCGGGTCAGATGCTTTACTACAGGTCGAAGCCCTATGGGGAGTATTAGAAACTTTACGAGCTACATATGAATCTCGCCCGGTAACCAAGTGTGAGCCTCGGGAACCGAGAAATTGTCCAGAATGACCGTCGAATAGATACAACTACATAACCTTCTTGGAGAGAGACACTGAAGGAGCCCTTTTGGAGGCATTGAATTATGCACAGATCTTGGGTCTGGATGCGGCGTGGATTTTACGGTGGCTATTTAAGGTCCTCAGCCATTTTAAGGCTGAGCAGTCTACCTTGGATTACATTAAGTCCAACCACCAGCGGTTAGTAAATTGGACACCAGAGTTACAAATAACACAGATTTGCTCTCATGAAACTCAAGCCACAGTGGATCATACGTTTCGTTAATTTGGCGAAAGGACACTTTCGGGTTTGCAACATACCAATTATGAAACAGATGACACAGCTCATGGAGAACCATAAGCGTGCCCTTGAACGCAGCCCGACAGATGCAGAGTTCAAGCAGAGTCTTTTGAATCACTGCGCCGTGCAGTTATTGGAAGATTCTCTTGGCTCCCGAACCTATGAACGGACACTACAATTACATACCAACTAGCACTTGATGGAGTTGCAGCGTCCGATTTTAGCATAACCATGGCAACAACGTACACCAACGTCAAGCACAACTACCATATGTGGCGGGTGCCAAGCACAGGCGCCACCAGGATTACGTCATATCCCTCGTTGTCATAATTACAGGGCAGCGACGAAGGACGACCGTGGCCGCACGACAGAGGTACGCCCACGAGCCCTGATACCACAGAGTTCAGTACCACTCTCAGCGACGGCAACACCATCAGCACCACCGCAACGGAGTGCGGGGGGAAGACAGCAACACGCAACGTCATATTAGTAGCCTTACTGATACGTTGGTGAGGGATACCCCACCTACCGATACGGATCTACATATTGAAGCAGTCCTTTCTGGTGATATGGGGGAGAGTGTACCGGCTGCGGAAATGGAAGCGGATAAGATAGCCCCAGAGTGATCACCAATATCAGATCAGCCATAAGATATCAGGGTGTCTGACGACGATACATCATTGACGTTTGCGTATGCAGGATGCTCAATACAAGCGTTTGAAGACCCATTGTTGACAGCAGATCAACGGGTGTACGTCCAAATTTAGTTGAACGGTAGCATGTTCCGAGCCGTAGTAGATTCGAGCGCAAACCGAAGCTGTATATTGCAGGTATCCGCAGAGGCACTAGGCCTACCAATCTCTCCGGCTCCTCCCGATTCGTATATATATATGGCGGATCAGGCGGCGCGCACTCGGCGACTGGGAACGACGGATATTATCACAATTCGATATGGAATGTCCATAACGAAGGGTTTATTAGAACTGACCGATCTACCAGTAGGAATCGATGCGACCATAAGAGTGGATATCATGCCTGGATTGGGCATATACTTAGGTGGCTTACAACCACCACTGGCACCTGTAGATCCGACAGAAGTAGATAATTTACTGACGCCGATTCCTCAGCAACAAGCTGCGGATTTAACCGAGCCTGAAAGCTTACGTACGGAACTGAAATCAGTCCTGGAGGCGAACGCGGCGATTACTGATAGTGTCGCTGCCGGTTGGAAGGGAGGGAGGTAGCCATACCGGTTACTCGAGAATAGGCGATGAATATGCGGCGATCAACGAGGAGCTTTGTGTCAGACCGGTGGATACCATATGTAGAAGAACAGGTACAGAAGTGGCTACGAGACTTAGTAGTCGTCAAGCGTACTACTCCAACCAAGGTGAACCTGCCACTACTAGCGGTTCCGACTTTTAACAGCGAGGGAAATGTGAAGAAGGTACGAGTGTGCCTCGATATGCGGGCAGTCAATGCTTTGATTCCAGGCGACCAATTCCTGATTCCCAAAGTGAACGAGATTATATTGCGTTCACAGAGCAAGAGATATTATACGACACTAGTCATTTCGGCGGCATATCATCGTCTATAGATTCACTCAGATTCGCAATAACTGTTCAGTTTCACGCATGGGCGCCACCTGTATTCACTTATGTCGGCGCCATTTGGTCTACATGTGCTCACCCAGCAGTTCAAACAAACCTTGAGTACAATCTTGGACGGTCTTCCCGTGCAGTATTTTATCGACGATATAGTGATAGCAGGAGATGGCTATGAAGAACATATAGCGACGGTTAAGAAGGAAACACGCCGACGCACAGCTGAATCCGGATAAGTGCCACTTTGCAATTGGGGAAGTTATGATCCTATGAAAGAAGATATCGGAAGCGGGTATTGATATCGATTGTGAGAAACAGGCGAAGCTGTTGTATTGGCCGACACCGCAGCGATACAAAGATATAGTATCGGCGTTAGGGCTGGCGAACTTTCTACACGAACATCTTCCCAATTTTGCGCACATAGTGGCGCCACCCCAAGAGTTCTGCAAGTTGAAACCAACCAAGTTGATTGGATCATGTTGGGAATCCCGCCACGCGGAGGCTTGGACGGCTATGAAGACGGCGATTGTCAACGCGGTAGCCCTACACTTTCCGGTGGAGGATGTACCTCTTAGTTTGGAGACGGATGCTAGTGACTACGACATTGTTCCAGTGGGTCGACGAGAAGAAACACTATCTCATATTTTCAGCAAAACGCTAAACCAGGTACGACAGAAGTATGCGACGACAATGAAGGAACTCTTGACGCTGGTCTATGGGCTCACCCACTTTCGGGAATTCCTCGACGGACAACGTTTTGCGGCCTTCACATATCATAAAGCATTAGTATATATGAACACGCAATTGAAATTGAACCTGATGCTCTAGCGGTGGAACCACATAATAGCCCCGTTTAATTTTACGATCCCACATATACCGGGGGAAAAGAATATACTCCCTGACATGCCGAGTAGAGTCCACGAAGGGACAGCGGAAGGTGACGCACCTGAAGTATTCTATGTCGATTGCTGGCAGATGTTTCCAAATTTATACAAGCACAGAAGATATTCGGCCCGAATGATGTGGATGTATTTCGCAACACCAGGAGATGTGCAACTGCCTCGATTCTGGACATATAACGAGCACGGAGGTGCCTTTCGGCATAATTGAGCGTTCAATAACGGGTGGATGAACCCGCCCTGGTAACTTGTACATAAGATGTTCGTAAAATCAAGTCCGATGGCGCGTCGGCAACAGTACGCGTATCGTGGGCCCCTCGAGCCCCGTGGTTTACCTTGTTCAAGTCTTTACTGCAGACAGAACCAGTACTATTCCCCAGAACATCACACACGTTCTTGAAACATGCTAAGCACGCTTGCGGTAAGAACCCGTGGGGGCATACGCTAACTGCTCGGGTGGGACCCCCGAATGATTTTCAGCAGCACGAATCTTTTCTGGGCTTTGCCGAGCCCCGGTATTCACCACAACCTCGTTGTCTGGACACGGTACGGGATATCTCAATAGATGTAACCAGTGTGGAGGCTCGACCGGCGGTTGTTAATGCGTCACCGGAAGGACAACGACGACGCATACAGCCTACCCAAGCTCAACACGAGCAAGGACACCATAGCGCGGTGGACACGGTGACACAACTCCAACAGAATGGCCATATATCGACGGAGGTACTGGAAATAGCTACCGAAGTTAAACGACAGTGCAGTGCGTGCTTGGGTCAGGACACACTGAAGAAGGGGGTTCATCTGTTGGTCAGTACATACACTAGATATCCGTGGGACCACATTCAAATAGATTACATCCCTATGCATATTGCCTCCAGTCGGAAGAACAAGTATGTTCTCCATGTTTTCGACATCGCATCCGAGTATTCGATCCTACGAGCCACACCTTACAAATCAAAGGAAACAACAGCGCGAACGTTGGAGAACACGGGTTCCCCCGGAAGATACAGTCCGATATGCGTACTGAATTTGTTAATAGTGTAGTGGCACTCATTGTTCGGGCGGTTGGGATGATGCATAAAATCTCACCACCATACCGACCCCAAGTACCAGGGGCCACGAAACGCCGGCACAAGAAAATTGTTCGATCAATTCGGATCTGCTGTGAGGCTACGCCCTAAGCTTGGGCTGAGAGACTGCTATTTACTATGCTTTATCAACCCCTTCGAGTGTCTCGCCGACACAGAAGTGCTCCTTCTAGTGTATATTTTGGACGCCGCCATGCCCCCTTCGCTAATTTCACCAACGATCCCCCAGAGAATCAGCCGACTGCGAATGAGACGTGGGCTCAGCGACTCGACCGCCTCCAGGATACTATATTACCACCCCTACATAGGCTGACGATGCGTTGCACCGATACTTTGACGAAGAGTTTTGACCGCCTCCATGCGGATGATTTAATGCACTTCGAGGAGGGCGACGTGGTGATGGTCAAATCGGAAGGCCGCACATCCGAGGCGATGCGCCCTTTATTCGGTCCTTATGTCGTGAATGGCCGGAATGGACAGGGGTACGATCTGTCTCATAGAGATGGTTCGACTAATAGACTACAGGTTTCAGACCAGATTTTGCAGCAAGAAAGCCTATTTGATTTATGGAAGTCATCAGAGTTAGCTCACTCCCGAGAGCTAAATCGTCAGAGATAGCTCATTCCCAAGTCCCCGAGAGCTAATCAAGTTGCTGAGAGACTACATGTCCCAGGCCAGATTTTACAGCAAGAAACCCTCTTTATTTTATGGAAGTCCGCAGAGTTAGCTCACTCCCGAGAGCTAAGTCATCAGGGTAAGCTCACTCCCGAAAGCTAATCAAGTTGCTTAAATTACTCTCAAGAGTTGAGTTAATATTCAACCGACTTCCGAGAGCAGATTAAGTTTCTCAACCGATTCCCGAGAGTGGATTAAGTCTGTCAACCGCAACATTCTAAAGATAGCTGCGGTTCTATGTGAGTCACAGCCTATGCGGAAAGGCATCATGTGATCAGCTTGAAATTCAGTTGCAGAGGAGTTGAAATAGAATAGCATCGAAGTGTTAAAGTGTTCTGCATAAGGTTTCTCATACTGACCATAGCCCAAGCGGCTGAACACTAGCACAAACACCTCAGGTATAAAACCAAAGATGAGGTCAGAAATAAATTTATACATTTGCACTTTATTTAAAGTCTACCTCATTGCACTCTAACATCGACCCCATCGGATTTCAAAGATCGTCCGGTTAGGGTTGAACTGATCCGTTTAGTACACCGTAGTACCGATCTCCCGCTTGACGAGAGTCTGTGGCGCGATGACGGTTCAGCGTTCCGACACATCATTATACATCGAGTTAAGGATGTCACGGGCAAGACGGAGTATCTCGTACGATGGCGCGAAGGGGGTCCCATCTGGGAAACGGCAGAGGCGTTTGACGATGCTAATGATATCGTGGCATACCATAAGAATACACAAACACGCTCTCGCAAGCGCCGACGATGGCACGTGACCCGTGCTTCAGCTTGAAGGGGTTGTGGTCAAATGTACTAAATAAGGGCTATTTGAGTAATTTGAGGTTTATTGTGAGAAATGACCTAAACCCAGTTCAAGGTTTATGATCAAATTTATACACATGTCAGATAATACAAACAATGGTTCATTTATTATTCAATAAAGGTACAACGCATCACCTTGTAGGAGGGGAGTACGTTGAGATATTGATATCTTTGCGTATTTGACTACATCCTGAAAGGAAAAATGAAACGGAATCTAGCAAATCCTTGGACATCATAGCTCAATAAGAAATGTGTAGATTTCAAAGATGCTTTTACATGCTCAGCAAATTTGGCGTATCCAGTAGTCTGAGTACCGTTCCAAACCATGAACGACGCAGGTGGTTATGACATGAGAGGCTGCCTGTTTCAAATTATAGACTGAGTCAGGCAAGATATACTCTATTATTCAAAGGGCTTAAATTCCGCACAATAGAGATATGGAACAATTACGAAAGAATCACTAGCGCTGGTATACAGTCTAGAACACTTTTTGGAATACGTCAAAGGAGGCGATATAACATTGTGGACAGATCACAAAGCGTTGTGACAGATGAACAAGCAGCAAACGCTGCATCCCATGCTAGCAAAGTTGATAGCGAAAACATTCCATCAACACTTCACAATCATACACGTGCCAGGCAAAGAAAATGAAGTTGCCTATATGCTATCACGATTGCACGAAGCTACTTTCAACATCAAGACATCAAATGTGTTGAAGAACGCCAACGAGCATACACACAATGGTCAAGAGTACACTGAACTGAAAACAAACATGCTCATACTGGTATCTGGCATAGACTGGAAACTACATCCACGGATCTACAAATATGCAGAGCGCATGTTCGTGAAATTAACCATTGATTTGTTTGCAACAGCACACAATGCACATACATCAAAGTTATACACCAAATAACAGAATGCATTACTTCAGAAATGAGCAGATGAAATTAATGCATGGGCGAATCCTCCCTGGGAGCTAATCCCAGACGTTTTGGAAAAAGTCATAGAGGAAGCCAATGCGACGTGGTTCCTCATATTCTTATCACTACTTGAGCGAGACTCGATGGTAGTCGAAAACACGAACAACACGTTCCTAAAGAACGACACAATAGCTTGCGGCAAAACACCATGGGGGGTCACACTAGTAGCCAAGATAGGCACAAAGTGATCCATACTTTGATCAAAAATAGCACACTCAGCCGTATGCATCCATACAAACTACGGACGATTCATCAGATCTAGACACAGTCACAAATGATGACAGAGCTACCTTGATAGCTCAATACTACACCGTGGGCCACTACACCGCTTAAATTAGATGGCCACACATTGTCACGCCAGAAAAAAAAATCAAGACGGGATTCCACCCTCTACAATCAATAACGGCCGCATTTCCGTCCCTTGATAAACTCAAATACAGCCAACACATACGTGCTAGTATGACTCGATGTACACTCATCATACGCTATACTTAGACCAATGATGGACAAGTCAGCGGCAACTGTCGCACAAACACGAGTTCCAATCTTGTGTAAGCATGGCTTTCCTCAGGTCATACACACGGATTAAGGTACATAATACATGATTGACACCCTATCGAAAACCAACATCACATAGTGTCCAGACCAACCCAACCCAATGTAATGGTAGCAAATGAGCCTTTACATAGAAACCTCATACCTTTACTGCGCAAATCCGTTGAACAAAATCCAGGCAACTGGTGTTCACGCCTTCCATCTGTTGAAATGGGCCACAATCCACGTTCATCACGCAGACACAAACCACCACGTTTCGATGTGTACTATGAACGACGACAAAGCCAACTGACCGATTATGATATACCAGCCAATGCACCCGGTACAACAGTGCCATGGGAAACACGACTGGACAATATAGAAGAATCCATACGACCACAACTAGACGCCAATGTGGCACAATATCAAGAAAAAAAATGCGCGCAGCATTTGATCGAAAATACCAAGAGAAGTATGTACACTTCCAGGAAGGGGAGTTACCAAGGTGAAGTGAACAAAATTTCAGATAGTATAAAATGAGGACAACAGGTATGTTATCTGTAACCTTGATGAGACTAAACCCCCGAATATCCTAACTCGATCAGTGATGTACCAATTGGACTAGTCAAGAAGGCTAATGCTCTGGTAGAATTCACCACCACTAGTCAAGGACAACCATCGTAAGAAACTCAATTCTCCTCGATACTCGACCACAGACCAATCAGAAAGGGTAATGGATTGCGGGAATACCTATTGTCATGGACATATGAGGAGCGTACCTGAACGCGTGAGTCAGATATCGCATATGCTGATATTCTTACACTATACCGACAACGTACCAGACGCAAGCGAGGGCAATCCAGGCCCATAAAGTCAACGGCAACGAGCACTAATGAACGAACAGCGGGCAACAGAAAGCGCATAAGGCGTAGACCTTAACCGAGTTTCACTGACACCGAAGGACACTCTCACTTTACTCACCTTGAAGCATGCTCCGCCCACAATATGTAAAAACGGACAATGGTAGCAGGTTTTTATTCTTATACGCCCCAAGGGACAATTTTTTTCCTGTACAAAAACACCAACCTCTAGATAATCTAGTACTGTAAGATGTCACTTTCCACCCCTTCGCTATGTAAGAATAGACAATGGTAGCAGGTTTTTCATCTTATGCCCCCCAAGGGACAATTTTTCCCTGTGCAAAAACACCACCTCTAGATAATCTAGTACTGTAAGATGTCACTTTCCACTCCTTTGCATGCTCTGAAGCAAAAGGTTAAGGGGCTGTAGCATCTAGAGACCAGATTATCAGAAAAGCCAATCCAAAACCCCAAACCCAGGATTATCAAATACTGAGTTTTGGATTCAGGATCCGATATTTTTTATACTAGAGTGATCAGAATATGGTGGGATTACCGGTAGATGATACCGGGACCCCCTCGTGCGAGAGAAACACTCAAGTCAGAACTGAGTCTAGTGTAGAAAGCACCAAACACAAATGAAGACTCAATGCGGATCCTTCAGCCTAGGACTTTCACCTAGTTGAGAGATTCGCACTTGAGACGAAGTTTATTGTTTTCTTTGGTCGTATCTTAATCAGCTACTCTCTAACTATACACGTAAGTGGGTGTGACCTTGGAATCCTTCTGAACGATACGAACGGAGCTGACCCATTGGCTATATTTGTCTCCATCTTTAGCCTTCCCATCCCTGTATTTCTGCTCCATCTCGCAGTTTCTACTGCCTGGAGAACAGAGTCTTGGGTACGATAGATCTGTCTGAACCGGCTGGGCTCCGTCCTTGAGACGAAGCTGGACTAGGACGCCGTTGATATAACGTGGTCGACGAGGATCGTATCGTATCTCATTCAAGAGGTCCTTAAACGTCTGTAACTCTCTAGGACTTTTATTAAGAATATTCGCTAACGGGTCGAGGTGTCGAAAGTCATACTCACTCGGTGGCTTCTTCTCTTGTGGTCCGTAGGCTGGTAGCAGGTCGATACTCGCCAGTTGTTCCGGGGTAAGGAACTAAGGCGGGGAAGTCGATTGGTCCCAGGAGATACCAATGAGGTTCTCCTGGAGGTGATCACGAGGAAGCCAGTCAGAGACAACGAAGTCAACTTGCTTGGTCTCCTTGAGGTTATTGGTGCAGTTAGGGGCGAGTACTCTAAGTAGAAGTGTGGCAGTAACTTGGTGGTTCAAGGTAGCTTGGCCATCGCCCTCAAACCCCTGTTAAAAAGTCGTGCCTTACAGTTTAGTCATTCCACAAAAGTCTCGAGTAGCATAGCGGGCTTGGAACCTGTGTCCACGTAGACCATGATATTATCCTGTCCACACGGCTTGCACTACCGGCCCTGTCTATTCATCTATACATAACTGATATATGTGCGTGTTGTCATCCCATGTGTCCGTATGTATACTATCATTGACTTGAATTTCGTTGTCATGCGTGGGAGCAGTGTCCACCGATACGTTAGTGTCAACTATGGACACCTGGAGGGACTCAGTATATGTGATATTACTCTCGTGGGATGTCGACCCCAGTGACAAGTGGGGTAGGATTCTCAGTGGTGTCTACTGCTGGTGATACTGAGGCCGATGTAATAGTGTTAGGGCACCTTCGTGAGTAATGCCCAGTCTGTTTACATGTGTGGCAGCGTATGCTAGAGCTTGGCTAGCCCCGTATCGGTGATCGTGTCCATGTGGATGTGTGTCCCTACCCGCAGATTGAGGCCGTGAGTGTCAGCCCGAGTGGTACTGGCTATCACGACTATACGACGGGGATCGGTGACAGTGGAAGGAGCGTTCCCTGAGAGTGTTAGAGTCGCGGTGCAGTTACGGGGCTCTAATGTAGCCGGCCTCACTCCGATACTCGGATTCTTTGAGAGGACCCACTGAGGACTCGCGTAGGCGTCCACGGGCTGTGATGTACATGTCAAGTGCCTGAAGAACACCTTCCTTTGATTCTTCTGATTATGCGGTCGTAATAAATACACAGAGTGCGGCGCGAAGCTCCTTCAGGAAAATATGAAGCTCTGATAAGATCTTGTGCCGAACCAGGATTGGTGCTTCACGGGCGTCGATTGAGGTGGAAGTCAACAACACGAGAGCTTGGTTATGGAAAATGCCCTGCCCATGGGCATCTTTCTGAATGTACCGAACATTATACTCTCGAGTAGGCAAGGCCTTGATGGGTAGGCCTGGAGGCGGTATAGTAGGATGGGTTGGAGGGGTATGGTCGAGGCGCGTTTGCCCGACATGCATCCCAAAGATAAGGAGGCTGTGACCGTTGAAGACTAGCAGACACGAGCGTGGAAACCAGCAATTGCGCTGGTGCAAATATATATACTCGTGGAGAGCACCCAGCTTTGGTCGTCATCGTCCGAGGGCCGAGAAGAGGAATCCATCGTTATGTTGAAGAAGAGAACAGTCGAGGTGGACTACAACCCTAGCCGTACGCAGTTGCCAGCCTAAGAGTGGTACAAAGGTAAATGGTCCACCCGTTGGTGGAGACGCTTGCGACTGGGAATGTATCTCTCAGGGCCAGGTCTCGACAAGGGCGAGGTCCAGGTATGGGTCCTCATGTGAGGGCGGGGGTTCATGGATTGCCTTCTGCTTGAGCTCCGTATCGTACTCAAGCCAGAAGGACTGTACACGTTGGGAATCCTGGAAAGAATGGAGCGGTTTCAACGTCGTGGCATCGAAGGTAGATGGTGTTGCCCGTGCCGAACTAAGTCCGCGAGTGCGGTTGCGTAAAGTACGTCGGTGGCGTGTCCTTCTAGCGGGGGAGTGACGACTGGGTGTTGTATGGGCAGGGCGGTGATCACGACTTCGTCGTTCGGCAGGTAGATTCCCGCGACGCGACGGGTGGATGGATTGCATCATTGCTGTCGCCGTAGATGGAGCTCCCGGCAAGGTCTCAAGACGTCGATGACGAGAGATATCCGAGGCTACCATAGGAGTATCCTGTTGGACACTGAAACGGTCGCAAGACGTTGTTGCGTTGGTCGAATGTGCACGCATATGTCTGCGTGGTGAGCGCACACGTCGTTCGGTCGTATGCGATCGGTGACGGACGGACTGGTGCCTAGGCTGTTCAGGGGAATGGTCTGAGCGCGAACTCTTGTGAATACCAGTGCCTGAGGTACTAGAGCTGTAGCGTGAGCGATCGTCAGGTGTGATATCCCGAGACATGAAGAAGTGGTTCAGGTCTGCGTCAGAAGCCAAAAGTTGGAGGGCACTGATCGCTAGAGGCCGAGTAGGCATATATGAGCTGTCAATTCCGATTCCGGACTCCGTAGACTTGAGCAAACCAATGCATGTGTCCACAGGTGGGATGGTATCTCGTACCACAGAGCTAACTTTTGCTGCTAGACGGTAGACTATAGAGAGGACTCCTTTCTTAGCGAAATCGGACAGGTAAATCAGCTTTGTCCGGTCGCGTGTTATGACGATTCGCTTGGCCCAAGAGTTCTGAGACGTTCTCCGGGCGACAGAGTTGGGTTAAAGCGCCGTAGTTGGCGATTAGGTAGCGCTCAATGATGATTACTTAGCGCCGAAGCCCAGTTCGGCCATCATTTTGATTTGAATGACCTGGTCGACATGCCGTAGTAGGAAATCGACTTTTGCATCGTCGGGTAGGAAGCGAGATTCCCGGGAGAATTTAGCTTTTTCCACGAGGAAATGAAGATAAGGATCGGGTTACAGCGTTCCCCATAGTAGGTGGGAAGCGACTGGGCCGCCGAGGTAGAGATATAGTGAGAGAAGCCAACCATGGTAATTCTGACTATGTGTTCAAAATTAAGTAAAATAATCAATCGTAATTGATAATGTGTTCTAAGTTGTTGGGGTTGTCCTAGGTTGGCTAGTAGAGCTTTGTTGTAGTAAACTCAAGGTACACGTCGTTTACTATAGGGGAAGTAAGCCAGATGGTTCAGTCTCGCTAAAACCAGCGTACAAAAGGATCGACACCTAGCAGGTAAGTCCGATAGTCTTACCAGGAGTCTCAGACTCCTGGAGCCCTGTTGTCACTAAAAGACATATGGGCGTTCTGCTCCTAGTTGTCCTAAGTCCTAGAGGTAGGGCTGTCATGTGCTGACGCCATGGGACTGGTTGTCCTGTACTAGAGTACTGTCCGCTACTAAATACAAAAACTGAAAACGCAAAACCTAGAAGGCTATGAAACGCAAAACCTAGAAGGCTATGAAACGCAAAACCTAGAAGGCTATGAAACGCAAAACCTAGAAGGTTATGAAACGCAAAACCTAGAAGACTATGAAACGCAAAACCTAGAGGGCTATGAAACGCAAAACCTAGAAGGCTATGAAACGCAAAACCTAGAAGGCTATGAAACGCAAAACCTAGAAGGCTATGATGCAAAGCAGTAAGAGGCTATGATGCAAAGCAGTAAGAGGCTACATATGGCAAATCCAGCCTCCTGAGTATAATTATTTTAGGAGGCTATGACGAAACGCTAAATACAAAAAAGTTCTATTGTTTTTAGGAGAGGCTAAGGCAAAATACAAAACTCAAAACGCAAAACCCGGTGTTAATTTGGATTACACGTACATATTTATATCAAAAAAGAATAATAAATCTCAAATATTTTGTTTGAGGACACATATCGGACGGAGGAATACAATCAATGCTAGCAATATCGGTCAGAGGCAGGAATGCAAATTAGTAAGTGGAAGCGGGTTGGATGACGGGTGCGTAGTTGCATAATCTGACGCAATGGAAGCAACAACCAGCGAGACAGATAGCATAGCTTCGAGTGATCTAAATTATGTCGTGTGGTTTGGCCAATTGCTGGTTGGGGTTGCTTTTGAATTTGGGGAATGGATCGAATTGTTTCTCGGGCTCACTTTTTTCAGTTCAGGCGTCGTGGCTGGAGTGTGTGCATTCTTATTACCACAACTAGTCACAGTGTGGGTGTTGCATGTACTACCATCAATCAGGAGACTACAACCATGGGATCGCCGCAAACCGATCAAAGTAGCTCGAAATCCTTGGGCTGATTGGGAGAAAGAATACGCGTATGTAATTTTTGGCATGCTGTTCGCTAAAACCCCATCATTGTTTATTCAACGGTGAATTTTGGATAAATGTAAATTTTTATTTTTCAGGTGCTGCGCTGCTGGCTATAGTGTCTTTCGCTTAAATATTTGACGCGGTTTGAACAGTTGTATCATCGATTGACGTTATATAGCGTATAAACACTACTATTGGGGATAATATATACAGTTTCAAGTAGCATCTCACGACTGAAGTGCTAATAGAGCTGAATCAAATTCGTGATAAGTATATATATATATATATATGTATATTTATATATAT